GTTTGTGTGTGTGTGTGTGGGTGTGGTGTGTGTGGTGTGTGGTGTGTGTGGTGTGTGTGTGTGTGTGGGTGTGTGGTGTGTGTGTGGTGTGTGTGTGTGTGTGTGTGTGTGTGGTGGTGTGTGTGGTGTGTGTGGTGTGTGTGGGTGTGTGTGTGTGGTGGTGTGGGTGTGTGTGTTGGTGTGTGGGTGTGTGTGTGTGTGTGTGTGTGTGTGTGTGTGTGTGTGTGGTGTGTGTGCGTAACGCTGTTGTGTAAAGAATTCGCGGTGCATTCTGATTGAGGATCTGGGGTCAACATCCACCCCAAGAGGCGATGGAGCCAAACTTACAGACTGCTGCGCCAGCTGGAGACTCTCCAGGTTCAACTGACCATGACACGTCGAATCATGCATACCATGCAGGTATTCATTCCGTTTCAGGTTGGGGACTTTGAGCTGCCTTTTTAGCCGGGTTTCAATTGCTGTACATGAATGCTGGAAATTTATCTTACGAACTGGTAGTGATAAAGGCATTGAAATTGCGGTGCAGAGCTGATTTGAACACAGCCTGATGTTTTTCTAACGTACCTTATGTTAAATATCCGTTGTACCTAAATTCACAGTTCATATATCTCCGACACAACACCCTTTGAAGTCAAGCATTAAGTGGCATCTTGAAAGGTGACACTTTCTTCATGCAGGAGCTCCCATTCACACATGATCAATTCCTTTCCTTACTGCTGACTGTAAAGACAGACATGTGCGTCGCATTCGCATTTCGGCGCATGAGAATGTAGAAAGCCCTCCAAAAGCATCACGAACCTGCATCTGCAAAATGGATATCCTTTCAAGACTTGAAGGTGACGTCGATGTGTGAAGTATTCAAGTGGGTTTCGAGGAGAAAGGGACCACTGGGGTGGTATGGAGGGACCGATGGGCGCTGGATGGGGAGGGATATGGAGGGCGTTGTCCGGTAGATAACTGGCACACCCATGGGTCAGACGGGCTGTCAAATCTGCTGTTGAGTTGTAGCCGGTGCGTTTCCGTGCACCGTACAGTTGGTTTTTACGTCCTCGTCTGTTCCAGTTGTTGAGATATCACACCATCCTAAAAAACGCCCCAAGCGGGTGGATCCATAGTATGCGCAGATTAGAGCGTGCTGGTCTGAGCGCGTCATCCAGTTAAAAACGCCTGGTGCAGCACTGGGTGTTGCAGAGGGGCGTACCGATTTTCATTTAAACAGTTTTTATTTGATAGTTTTTTATTGGAAGATATCATCTCGGCCGCCTTGACTACCAAAATTGCCAGTTAACAATATCATAAGGTCGGTTACCAAAATACGTATTTTCAGTATCAAATTTCATGATGCTGAAACCATAAAATAAATGAAAAAAACATTGGTAATGAATTAACGAAATTAGAAAACATGAAGTGAATTAAATAAAAGTAACGATAAGCGCTACGACATTGTGTGAATTTAAACGATCTCGTGGCATTCGCCGGCGGCCCCAGACCTTTGATGTGTGCACGATGGGTGTCGTAATATTCATGCTTCGTAAGAATGCAGCTTTTCGGTGGCGGCAGCTTGGAATTGGCACGGGCATGGTAGCAAGCTGAAGGGCACGTGCGCATCATCAGGCTCAAATACGCTTTTTCAAACTTTGGGTTGAAACCCTTTGATTGCACGGATTTCTGGAATCAGCGAGCACGCCAAGCAGTGTTTGCCGCGTGAGCCCTGACGCCCACCATCCAATCGTGAAATGTCGGGTAAGTATTGGGACGGACAAACAATTCATATTCTCAAAATGCTTGAGCGCCTTGACCAAGCCAAACACGTAACTGCTCGAGACTAAAGGACAGTCTCGGTGCCTGATAAGTTTGAAGAGGTATTTTCCGGTGTTCCGAATATTACCGCTCTACACGTCAAATGCCAAATAGCAATACGTGAATGGCCCCTGTCGGAGTTCGAACACGAAACCCCTACAATTTAATCGGCCCGCCGATCTTGACTGATACAAAAATGTCAGGCAAGCTGAAATTTCGGGCGCCTTTGTCATTAAGCCATAGCTACGTCATCTTTGGCGCCAGCTTTCTATTTCTTTTAATGACCCGTCGATGCAAATCAAGTTATAGCAAAACATGGAGAGCCATACACTCTATAATTTGTAATAATGTCTCTCTATTTTTGACTAATCTTTAGTTTAACACACCATGGAATCGATCTTCCGTGATGGTTTCGAGAAAAGTGAAAAATTAGTTGCCCTGTACAGCACTGGGTAGTACTCATGTTCGCGAGGCATTCCACTTCCGCAAGGCACCGGGCATTTCTGAAAAGCGGGGAGTTAAAGGCAAGGAAATTTCTACGCAAGGAAGTATGTGGCAGCCTATAACGTACCAATTACTGACAAGTGAATGTCATTTGCTCGGCACTTGCGCACATTACGAGCAAAGCAAGTGAGCAGTGTGTCGCTCATCTCCCGAAGCTATCGTCTCGCCGGATGGCCAGTCTGTATCGGCTCAATGGCAACTTCCCCCGCCCGCGCCGCCGATTTCTTGCGCTGCTTTGCCAGGCCTCTGAGGGTAAAGGACATGAACAACATTTTAGCACTGATTCCTGGATGCTGTGTATTGTTGGCTGGTTTTGTTTCTCTTCCACTTCACCACCACTTCACTTTCAGGTTTATATTTGATTACCAAGTAAGAACAGGTGATAGCAATGCTGTGGCTAAAATCTACAATCACCGCGCAAAAACTGGTTCCACCGCCCTCTCTAAGACACAACACAGCAAGGTGACCGACGTTTTCACGCGGACGTTCAGTTACGCACTGCCACACCCTGTTCCCCTTGATGTTGCATAACATTGGGACACCGAAATGATGTTAGCCTACGCAGTATCGCCAATCGCGGCTAAGCATCAACACGGAGAGAGTGCACATTAACATCCCCTTAGCAGCCAGGATCTTCGTTAGCTTTGTCGTGTCTCCATCACTAGAAATGTATACACCTTACGTGACCATTTGCGCTATGATAAATGCCAGCTTTACACAAACTGCGTCTCTGCTGCCCAACACACGCTGACAACATAAACGTTGCAGCCTCCAGAGACGGCCTCCCACGGCTGGTGCGTGCCTTGTATTTGATATTCCGGTTCACGGCCGGCGTGCCACGGACTTCCATCGCAGCAACGCGGCTGCGCGGCGACGCACCAAGCGTAACCCCGCTGGTCCGGAAGTGACGCATGTTTTGCGCCACCAGGCCTTCATTACTCCCGGGCCGTCGGCGATGGTCTGGACGATGATGTGCACTTGCTTCGGTTGATGTCAGGTCTCTGAACTGATAAGCTTTTGTCAACCGTAATTCTCAATACGTAGACCGACTAACTTACATTTTTATCGATTGTACACAGGGGTGTCAATTTCTAAACACGATGGGGGAGGTGTGGGTTCAACCGACAGAGCTAAACTAACCTGTCCGAATTTTGTTCCCCGGATTTTGGTTACTTAAATTTGCTTTCGGGATTTCCAAAAAATGTTGATCATTTTTTGTGAATTCAAGATCTTTTGCTGTAGAGAAACCAATGCACTGCATTTTGGAGCTGTATGCACACATTGCACTGTACTGGGGAGTTGAAATGCATATTAAGCAGTGAACACATGAGCGAAACGCATGGAATTCCATAAAACCCATGAAATAGTTGGCAAATCTTAGCGTTATGAATTCGAAGTTCTTTTCGTGAGTGAACAACCTTCAATATTACAGGAGGTACTGGTCAAACAAAGATAGACTCAATAGACAGATAGTTAAACAACTATATTGGCGATACTCGATATGATGATGAGGAACTCCTGAGGATGTGCGCTGCTGTATATATTGGTTACCGCCAATATAGTAATTATTTACAACGTCGCTTGACAGTACACCCTTGCATATAAAGTCTTCAACTCAGCACAAAACTTTGAGGTCATGATATCAAAAAATCAGCGGCAGTGGCGCAGCCAAGGAAGGCTAATGAAGCCTTACCCCCCCCCCCTCAAGGTAGGTTCAAACAGTTTTTTTCACCACGACACCCCTAAATGCAAGCTCAAAATCTGGTGATCAGGATAAATATTTGGCAAGACAGTAGTAACTGCCTTATTCCTCTGAGAAAAACGAGGCGAATGGAAATATAGGTGCATTGATATTTCGGCAACATGCATTTACCTAAACGAACAGCAAAAGTGAGTTCAAAATTGCCTGCCGATGATCCTACTCAATTTTTGCTTTTTTTGATGCAGCGAGCCGCAGTTCTCACAAGACGCCGACATTCAGGGGATTAAGCAAGTACATATAAGCCAGTCATATAGTACATATAGTGCATATCGAATAGTGGAACACGATATAGTGCATATCTAACTAAGAGTAAAAATACGTGTGCATACGTGTACATGCAAGCGAATTCAAATACACAGGCATCACACATTGTGCATCACTTATTCATGCAAGCGACTCCAATTAAACATACATCGCGCATCATGCGTCAGGCATCACTTAAATGGTTTTAAATCTAAAGACACTACCACGAACACTACATGAGATGACGTGCTGAGCCCAACAGCCGTAAATTAGCAACAAGACCAGCGGCTTGCCGAATGAACACGCACGGCACGCAGCGGAAACAGTTGGTTAAGGCAACAGAGCAAACGAACAATGCTAGCTGATTTACAGGCAGGCACTATATCTTTCAGTCTTCGTGGAGTTCGTCGAGCTTGTTCGCAGTGCCTGGGTACTGTCAATAGGACGGGGAACCGGCTGCTCGCTTCGACGAACACCATGGACTGCATGATGCACGGTCGTGTTAATGCTAATCGGAGTTCACCGGGCCTCCACGTGGCGCCGGTGGCGGGGCTCTGCTAATATGCAAACATGGTCTCCTTCGAGGCGGAGCAGGCGCCGCCTCGAGCCGGCATCGCCTGGGGTGTGTCTGCGCAGAACGGGCGGCAGGCGCCGGCCGGAGTTATTTGGCACTGCTCGTGGAGCACGCGGAGCGCTCGCTGGGCTGGGCAGTCTCCTCAAATACATCGGAACCAGGCCAGCACCGGAGCCGTGCGCTGGTCAGCTGCCGGGGGCGAGCGGCGTGTCACTGTCGCGTACTGCGGTGCATCCGAGCAGGATGAAGGGGGAAGTTAACTCTGCGTACGATGGCGACACGGCGCGAGATGACCCCAACGATTCGGACAAACATCCCAAGAAGAAAGGCCATCGCCTACATTTGGCGGGGGGCCGGGATCGCCATTTCGGGTGAGTACCTATAATACGATCATGAGTTCGCGATCGTTCATGTTCGCCGATAGGTTTCGTGGCCCTAGTGGCAGTTACTAGCGCCTGCTGCTGGATGAAATCTGGATGTAGGCAGCGCAATATCTAGCTTTTTCCATAACTTCACTCGCGGTGGCGTAACTCTATGAAATCGCTTGGAGGGGGGGGGGGGGGGGAAGCGGGGCTCAGCCGACAGGTTTGACCTAACCTACCCAAAAACGTTATTTTCCTCCGGATTTCAGCCACCTCAGTTTGAATCTTGAAAATTTTTGAGTCGACCCAAATTTTTTTTTGCTGCGGAGGAACCAGCGCCTTGCACTTTGCAATTGGACCTGCACATGCATTGCACTTGCATTTGCAAGCCCGTCGCAAGCTGGTGTGAAAAGTCTCACAATGACACCTCTGCAATTGTGTGAGAAGCTTACCTTGTGGTCTAAATCTACAGCAAAACATATGCAAAAAACGGCGTGATATAATTGCCGAGTCGTTTATCGTTCATCATATCGTTGGGAACGCAAGCTGACAGCTTATTCAGAATGGCTTGGCCTAACACGTGCGAACGAGTGGTAGTAGTAATTAGGGCTTTAGGGTACTTAGACTACGCCGGCGTAAAGCACCCATAGCGTATGTCCTAATCAACGTTAATTGGACATTTTAAAGTGACCCATTATATGCCGCGAACGATTTGAGCCGGTGTGTATACATAGACCAAAAGTTAACTCATGACAGGAATTTAAAGAGATATTCGATGAGTGATGAGTCGTTACCGAGTAAATCGGAGAGCGTGCGAGACGGTGCATTCGGGCCGAAGTACCGCAGACGTTCAACCTGTAATGTGGGACAAGAAGCGGGCACGTGACGCACAGTAAACGTTGCGTTACATTAGCGGCATCGAGGCGATTCATCGCGATGCAAAAGGTGGCTATGGGTGGTGTGACGGCCGATCCGGAAGCAGCTTAGAATGACTTCATCCGTCTTCACTGCCGATAAGACAACCGCCATTCCTGGACAACGACTTAATTATTTTTAGTCTGCTGGTGCGCACCGCACCCCATGCGCTCTGTCAACGACCCCGTAAAAAGCGACGAAATATCTGTGTATAAGTATGTGGCGATTGTTGGATGGGCTCTTGTGCATGGAAAAGGCGTGACACGTTTTGCAGCGGCATCGGGAAGCTTATTTCCAGCAAATCTTGCATGGCTTGAAATTCAGCGCAGTGCTACGATATTTTTGGACTGGCAAAAAGAGTCAAGACGTAATGAAATGTCCTGTATAAGGAAAGTTGTAAAGCTGAAGCGTCGTAATGCTAACAGACTTCTTAATGAGTCTGATAAATTCACGTGCAAGACATCTCCGTCCACCTGTATAAAGCGGAGTGCCTTACTAATCGCAACGGGTTCTGCCGTATAAAAATAGACTTGCACGCCAGAAACATGACTGTCTTGGCCGCACACAAAGGCGCAACTGACGTCCGTATCCGTTATAGAGCTGTCCGCAAATGTGGTTTGTGCCCCTGATGTGTTTCCATATATTATAAGGTTGTAGTTCTAGCAACGAACGGTGTGGTGTCTTGCTTTCGCGCACGTGCCAAAGACAAGTCGATGGCTGGAGATTATGGATACTAGATACTATATCCATTGAGGGGCCAGCAGGTTGGGTGGACGCATCACACCCAAATATTCAATCCACTCTCACGAAGGACACCATGAACACGTTGGCAGTAGCGTACGACGCCTCGCGCCCGTTTGCTGTGGAAGACATCCAATTTTTGGGAGTGAAAACACAGCACTTTGTGTTGGGTGATCTGGGAATTACGCCACTTTGCTAGCGCACTACAAGCCTAACATCCCACGGACCGCTAGCGGCGTTTCATTTGAGGCATCGCGGTGCCCCAAACGAACGAAGCTGTGCGGAAAGAGGAAAGCGATTGCATGCAATCGGCACCACTGCTACAATGCCTTTAGCAACCAGTACAGCACAGTCGTCCATTAGGGCATCTATTTTAATTCGGTCAACCTCCCAACGGCGTCTCACCCAACGCTGGTAGTCCGGCTAGAGCGGTGATTAACAGTGAAAAAGCGTCCAGTTTAAAATGTCTTTAGTTGTGCACAGCGGGTGCAACCATGTGCACACAATGACATTGCAGTGGTGCTTCCAGCCAGCACCGTAAATAGGTCACCGTCAGAAATGACGATTTACCTTGAAATTACGCCCTGACAGCGCCTTGTTTACTGCGGCCGTCCGTCTCACAGAGTCGTGGCAAGCATACGGCGGTCGTGGAAACATCAGTGAACACGCGCGGGAAGAACACACTGTCAGTATATATCAGCTGCCAGTACAACACAATAGGCCAATTAGGCCTACACTCGAAATCAGCCTGCCAGCTTAGGCTCGAAAATTGCTTTATGCTTACGCCATGCTTATGCCAGGGTCTTATGACGCGCATTTATGCTTATGCCATGGTCTCTGCTTAAAGAGGATGTTCCACCTTTGAAGAAACTAAGGCAAGCACCAGATATGACGAAAAGCTCACTTGTAGAAGCTCACGGCCGGCCGTATTAGTAATGCGTCGTCAAGGGATGACTCGAACAGATGGTCATGTCGACCGATGGGCGAATCACGTTGACGGCCGATTGTGCCCCCACAGCGACTGCATGTGCACATGGTTGCCCACGCTGCGCACGACTAAATAAGCTTTAAATTTACGCCGTAACTTTGCGAATCGCCTATGCAGCCGACCTATAGCATTGAGTGAGACGCTGTTGGGTTGCCGATCAAATGAGGTGGATGCCACTAACGGAAACTGTGTTACGATGTCAGCTGATAGCCTATAGCAGAGCTATCGCATGCACGCAGTCCCACATAGTCCCGGCCGATAGCTTGCGTGCTACTGAAAGTTTATTTTTATTTGGACAAACTAACTTTGCAAATCACCACTTTGGACATCCCATCAGAGGTAATTGAGATGCTGTTGGGGGACGGCCAAATCCAATAGACGCCGTAATCCAACAAGAGTTTTGTACTGGCCGCTGATTAACTATAGGAGCGTTATCGAACGCACACAGCTGGCCCGCTGGCGTTGTCTGAAGCGATGTGTGTATGGAGGGGGGGGGGGGGGAGGGGGCTCCCAAATAAAACGAACATCGGATAAGCGGGTTGAACTGGAAGCTGATAGTGCTATAACAGTGCTATTGAGCGCACACACTCGTACTTTTCGCACGCTTTTTCAATGAAGGCAGTAGTCACAGCCTTGTCCCTGGAAAAAAACCACGAGAAGGAAGATATAAATGCGCTGATATTTTGACAACATGCCTTTATCAAAATGAATAACAGAAGTGGATTAAAAAATGGCTAGCCGATGGTCATATTCTCTTTTTAATTTTTAAAAAAATGGTGAGCTACATTTTGTATAGGACACCAACATTCAGCTGATTAAACAGGGAGCAATTGCCGGTCATTACTACGATACGGTGCATAGCTAAATAAGAAGAAAAATACGCAAAAATACGTATACATGGAAACAAATTCAAGTTATCAGGCATCACGTATCACGCTTCATTTAAACATGCATATGAGTTGAAGTAAACAAGCATTGCACATCCCGCATTCATTATACATGCAAACAACTTCAATTAAACATGCATCGCGCATCACGCGTCAGGCATCACTTACACATATAAGCCACTTTAAGCTAGCACACATCACACATCAAGACACATATTACGTTCCCATAATCGGTCATGATGAGCCCTTTGCGTGAAGGTTTGGTCGCTGACTTTTTATAAGAATATATTCACTTATTTTCGTGCCTGGGTGGTCCTGCGCTTTGTAGATGACTTTGGGCTCTGAAAGAGGCACAGGGTCCATACGTCCCGGATTTCAGCCTGAGCATGTTTTGCCAAAAAATGGCCACCGGAAAGGGTATTCCCTGTTTTGTTTTTAGCAAGCTCAGTGTCATCTACAAAGCGCAAGACCACCCAGGCAGGAAAATAAGTGAATCTATTCTTATAAAAAGTCAGCGACCAAACCTTAACGTAAATGGCTCATGTTGACCGATTACGGGAACGTAATATGTGATGATGTGTGATGTGTGATAGTCCTTGATGTGTGATGTGTGCTAGCTTAAAGTCGTTTGTATGTGTAAGTGCTGCCTGACGCGTGATGCGCGATGCCTGTTTCACTGAAGTCGCTTGCACGTATAATTGATGCGGGGTGTGTGATGCCTGTTTACTTCAGCCCGCTTGAATGCTTGGATGAAACGTGATGCGTGATGCCTGTTTACTGGAATTTGTTTGCATCTACACGTATTTTCGCGTATTATAATTCTCCGTTAGATATGCATTGCATTGTAGTCTGTGCCTCACTGTTTCAAAAAGAAACCCTGCAAAATCGAGTGAGATCATCGGCAGCCAATTTCAAATTCACTAATGCTGTTCACTTCGATAAAGGCATACCGTCGAAATATTAACGCACTCATGTCTCCATTCTCCTGGTTTCTCTTCCAGGAAAAATACTATTACTACCATATTTTCTATATGAATAATGCCCTCGCAAATGCACTTAACAATCTACGTAATTATAAGCATTTTTGACGGGCATCTTTATGCTGGCCATGAAACTGCGGGCCGGCGAGCCGCAGGCAGTAATACGCCATCAAGAGATGATTTGAACAAAAATGTCATGTTGGCAAATGAGCAAGTCACATTGACGGCTGATAGTACCCCACAATGACTTCGTGCGCACATGATGGCACCCGTCACGCACGACTTACGTATGCTGAACGGACTCCATCACTTTGGAAATCACCGCGGCGGCATCCCACCAACATTGACTGATGGCTGTCAGGGGTTAACCGAATCAGCTGGACGTCTTGATCGGAGGCATATGCGGCGCTGCAAACTGATAGCCCCATCGCATGCACATGAAACACTCCTCGCGCGCGATTAGAAGTATTTGTCTCGGGCGGCGGTGAGCCGGCCAT